TGGTGAATTTGCTGACCTACGATTGCATCGCCGTTCGGCCAACCGTCCAGGAATTGTTTTTCCAAGTGATATGAATCTATATCGCGTATATATGCTTGATCGATGAGAATCCATTTTCGAAACACCTTTGACGGGCGAAAGTGGCACATCGTTATCGGCCATCGCGCCACGCTATCGCTTTATCATCCGACAGCTCCTTCTAACGTTTCTAACGTCTCAAGAAATACACGACTCGATGCTATTTACATGCCATGTTGCGTCTAATAATAAATTATTTAAGTTTAAATAAAGAAAAAATTTCGTATTTAATATTTAAATAAAACTAAGCTCTTTTGTGTGTCTTTTCACATCCGCGTTTTGATAAACAAGATCTAGATCGCACGTATGAAAAAACGTAACTTCCTGGCCTTTTCCAAGATTTGAATTTTACATCACTGAAGCCGAGCAACAGCGAACAACGATATTGTTTATTTATTCATCCGCGTTATTAGCCCATGGCGAATGAAGGAGCCTGCTTTCACTCCTGCCGTCGCGTAGCATACCTCTATTTTCTATTTCTCAAGTCGTGCTTCGCGCATCTCTCGTGCCGCCCAGTGCCGCGGGCGAGCTGTCGATCGGCACTCGAGGTGTACCTTGCCCACGTACACTCCCTTTTTAATGTGAAAAGAAATAAGCTAGCTCGGTGTTGTGGCCCTTACTTCTCTCAGCGCGTGCACGCCGCGTAATCGACAGATATATATATATATGCAAAACGGACGCAATTTCTCATTAAATCGTGGGTGTACGGCCGCGATCTTAAGGTCTTTATTTACGTTTATCTTCCGTTGCACGCTGCATCCTGGGCGCGTTATCTTGCGAGATCAAAGTATACGTTGATGCAGCGGCCAATTCGCGCCAGCGGCTTCTCACCTCGGCGGAAGGTTTCGCCGGTCAGGTTCAGGTACCAATTCCCGCGAGTTCCTCGCTTCGGGGTTGTGCATCGTGTTCACCTATGAAAATCGATCTCCACGTTTTTCTATATTTTATCTGAATCGGTCATTTGCCGCGCGAATAACGCAATTTAATAGCCGAGTCACTCTAACAACGTCATCTCATACATTATCTCTGTTTCTTCGAGATTTGATGACCATATTTTTAATAACGGCGATAATACACGCGAATTAATTAATTTTTAAATCATTATTCATTCCTAATTTGCATCGTTATTACCGAATGTTCGAAAGGTACTTTCCCGTCACAAAATATAACGGAGGTCCGAAGGTAATTTTAATATTTATCAAAAGAGGAGGGGGGGAGGCGCGCATCAATTATTTATACGTACAATGTTCGTTTCCGAAGAAATTGATTGCACGTTCGCGTTGATGTACTAATTAAATAATTCTGGCCCGCGCGAGGCTGATGCAGATCAACCGAAAATTTCGGGTCCGCCTAATTACCTTATCGAGCATCTCCGAGTCGCGCCGTTTCGGCCATGACCCGACGTTCGCGCCACGTCCACGCAACACGTCGCCCATCTCGTATGCCGCTATCGTGGCGGACGCGTGCAAGAAGGTCGTGGCTACCGGACTTACTACAGTCAGAGCGAGGACCTCGCCTCGCGATCGTCGTGACGAAAAGGGAAGGAAAGGGGCCCCCGCCCCTAGGGAAGAAGGGGCTCCGACTTGTTATAAGGCGTCAGGTGCCCGGGACCGTTGACGCGCGGCCGTTACCGTATACCATCCCCAGAAGAACGCCGCGCGATAATAATGTATACCATTAATGCGAATACCGGGGCGGGGAGGCGCGCCGCGTGCGTGTCTTCGAGAAGCCCTTAAACTCGGGGGCCCGGGGGCCATGTGCGCACCTCCGCGAGAGAAAGGTGAAGGGCGTTTAACGGTCGGAACGTACGCACACTTTTCGGAATCCGTCGGGGAAGAAACACCAGCTGATCACCGTTCGTCCGTTCGACCGTTCTCTATTTTTTTGGGCCATGTGCTTCCCGCGCTTTTTCCCCGGCCGCCTACCGGGCTAGACGATTTCTCATTTGCTTCTTTTTGGCATCCCCCGGGTTCGTTGACTTATATCCTTGAAACCCGTCGTGACGTATAGTTCGAGACCAGCGTATACACTATTATTCGTGTCATTTGTATAGTTTGGAGACTGCGCGAGAAAACCGAAAACAGAAATCTATCAATCTATTCTATCTATCTATCTATTATTAAGAGTATTATGTGAATAAATAAGAATATCACGTAACAATATCCTGTTAATCTTAAGAGCGTTAATTAATAATATAAATTGTTAGATTTAAATGTTTCGTTTAAATAATAAATATTAAATAAAATTCTCATTAGACATTTTATGCGTTATTACTATCAGCACGTTACTATCAGGCACAAGGTAGATACTTTCAGCATGTTCCAGTTGCACGTCGTGGCACGATCGTTTGCCGTCGGCCGGCAAATGCCGCGAAAGAAGGAAAGAAGACAGGCGGACGGGGGGGGGGGGAAGCGAATATCGAGATCGAGATATCATTAAGTCGAGTGATCTAGTCTGGCGAATATTACGGGGTCGAATGATGGAAAGTTGATGAAGTGGCCGTACGGCAAGGGTGTGCACGAGGGAACGTTGCACCTTACTAGCGGGCACAGGTGCCACAGCTGTTTCAGCAAGTGCAACGAACGGCCGTAGAACACGCGGACATTAGAACTGTTGCAGACGGCGGGCGCAGAGCGCAGGGGTAGCGTAAGGGGTGCATAACTATTCGACTAAAGCGGACGCGGTGAGGTGTTGCGCGTTGCTTTTTACGGTGCGACCGTTGAAGCAGCTCGCGTCAACAGGTTGCGCGCATGTGTGACTTCATCTTCATCACATCACACCCAGGCCCCTTTCGGAACGTCGCGAATTAACGTCTAATTGCGGTGCGTAAGGCGTAAAAATTCGCATTCGAGCGTCGAAATAAACCGATTGCGAAACATTTTCGAGAATAACAAATTTTCCTCAACTACTATTCTTTTCTTAACGAGTATCTGAGTCTTTTTTTTCAATAGCATAAATTTCAAAGGAATAAATCGCGTGGATTATATCGCAACGATTAGATAACTGAATGACCGCCGATGTTGGGATTATCACGCGTTCGCGATTCGGCGTCTTGCTCGACTTCTAACAGTTTCTGGGGTCAGCCGCGCACCGAATTCAACTCGCTTCCGTTTCACACGCCTACGCGTGCGATCCGATGATGGAGAGACGCGCGTTGATTCGTAGTTGGTCGACCGTCGATATAATATGAGCGCGGCTACATGCAGCGACTTTGTCCAAAGTTCAATTTAGCCGACGACGACGGTGTCGGCGGCGGCGGCGGCGGCGGCGATGGCGGTGGCGGTGGCGGGAGGGCGGGAGGAAAGTTTTGTTCTGTGCAGGAAGCGTGGTTCCGGCTCTCTCGGTTCCGCCCATAACGGTGACGGTGTGAACTTTGTGGATCCCGCCGCGCGATCGCCACGGCGGACTTTTTCGGCGGGATTTGATTGGCGGTGGTGCGCGCCGTAATTAAACGGGCGATCGTTAAATCATCTTCCGTTCTGTCGTCACCGATCGTACCCAGGCGTATACGTGGAACATTAATATCCCGAGGGTGAAATCAGAAGTCCGTAGATTCTCTAGATAAGCGACGCGGAGAAAGATTCTTACCGCTTTCTGTTATTTAACTGTGGCCGAAGTTAAGTGGTATCTGGAAACGGGAGGTTCTTCTTTGACAAATCGAAACGCTTTCTCCTTAAACGACGATTGAACCGCGACTTATTACTCGCAACTTACTTACCGAGTGTCCCGATTTTCTTTAACAGAATCTCATCACCGGTTTTCGACCTAGCCCCTCACGGCGCAATTTAATCAGAGAGCTATCCGCGAGGTCGCGAGGATCGATAAACAAATCGTTATTCTGTCATTTTCATTTGATCCTGCCACTTGTCGACAATTCTGGAATAAATTTAACGACAGTAGTTATAAATGATTATAAGAAGAGACCAAATAAATTTCGTGAGTAATAATTGTCGATTGTTATTTCTTTCGTCGATCATCGATGTTGTTTAACGTTCCGCGGTAAAATGTCTAAGAGAAAGGAAACGAAAAGAGTCAACTTATTTCTAATCATTTCCGAGTAGATATTAGACGTGAACCTATATACCGCCTTTCCGACTAGTCGTATTTTCGAGAGATGATCGATGTTTTAATTTCACCCATCATTGACCTCGATGCTCAAACCACTCTAACGTTATAAATGTTCCGACGGCTGTTAGAAGTCGAGGAAACATGGCACATTAAGTACGTCGATTCGCATTGTGGATACAACTTTAAATGGCCATTTTATCCTTTCTAGCACAGTATACGTGTGTTGTTCTCACCTTACAGAGTGAAACAGCAAGAAATCAGTATCTTTAATAGCATTGTTGTTAATTTGTCATAGCGTTGCATAACGTGATATTACAAATAATCATGTAATATGTTTCTCGTTAATGTTAACTTATTCGTTTACCTGTAACGTACAGGAAATTAGTTTATTCATTAGTTTATTTATTAGTTCCAATTCGATCGGAAGGTGACATGTCTTTAGACAATTTTCATTTTTGTAGCAACTGTTGATTATTAACGTAAACACTCCATATAAGATATCTTGTCGTTCCTAACCAGTCTTCTTAGTAAATAAGGTGATTAAGTTTGAGATAATTATAAGTAAATCACTTTTTAATCTCTTTCCCGATGTTTTGGCAAAACCTAAATCCGAATCCTAAAATCATCACGGCGCAAGGCACACGAGGGACTAGGTAC